AGAACATTTTTTTAATGCCCCCCCCCCCCCCACCTGGCACCACTATAACTGATTCTAACTTTGCTGTCTTTTTAAAGGTGTATTTCAAGCAGTTTTGCAGAACATGTCAGAAATCATTCAACCCATACCGTGTTGAGGACATAACCTGTCAGGTAAACCTATAGGTTCGCAACCAGATGCCTATAGATCTATAGGACCTCTGCAAACTTTGAAGATGACTTTAAAAACAAAAAACTGGTGCAACTTTACAACAGCATTGGTCTCAATGTAAACTAAACTAGGAGTGTCAATGGTTTACAAGCAGCTGTCTTTCAATAGATCACTTGCAGATCCATTTATTCACTGTCATTTTTGCATTAACTACAACTAGAAAATTTCATTTTCAGACTTGTAAGAAGTCTCGCTGTACGTGTTCTGTAACATCACGTCACGTGGACCCCCAAAGACCTCACAGACAGGATCTGTGCGGCCGCTGCAAAGGCAAGCGTCTGTCCTGTGACAGCACATTCAGCTTCAAATACATCATCTAGCAGCTCTGTCCGCTGTGGTCAGGCTTGGTTGTTGCCCAGCTGGATTGTCCACCTCAGTCTCTGCACCCTCGCTGCTCAAAGACCGCAGTGGGGATCCATCGGTCACTACAGTTTATTTCTTTTTGTTTTGCTTTAATTTGTATGTGAAGTAACTGTAGGTGCCAATTCTAAAAATAAAAATGGCAATTACTAGCACATCTTGAGTTTTCTATGAACTAATCTGCAGCAGGGTGACATGAATGGCTGACTTGAGTTGTACACTACTAGAAGCATTTTTGTGCCTATAAATAAAGCAAACTGGATTTGATTATTTTTAACCCAGGGGTATCCAAGCTCTGTCCTGAAGTCTAGCTCCAACTTGCCTCAACACACAGCTGCATGGAAGTTTCTAGTATGCCTAGTAAGACCTTGATTATCTGGTTCAGGTGTGTTTAATAGGGATTGAGCAGGATTGGACCAATTTTAACCTCAAAACTGCTCTGATGGGATTCAAATCACAAATGTTTGTTCAGATTAAAGTCAAGATTAAGAGCAAAACAATGCAGTAATTGTGGCTGCCAAGAGTTAAAGCTGATGAGGGGTGTCTTGCCCTATACATGTCCTTGATTTGCAACTTACTATTACTGCACCGTTTACTGTACTTGGTCAAGTCTTCAGACTAGCACAGTAACTCTTGTCTGTTCACGTAAGGTTCATTTCAGGTTTGCGCTTTCTGGAACTAGTAAAGATCATGCATGTAATTCAATTAAACATTTAGTCAAATTTTTTCGGACTTTGTCAATGACAGATTCAGGTTGTTTGGTTTATGTACAGTGGTTACATTATAGGATGCCTTAAATGGACAAATGGTTGTGTGATTAAGCATTACCGTAACCCATAAATAACGCAAAACCAGTCATTTGCGTTTATGGACTAAATGGGGTTGTTACCTAGATGAAATGATTTGTGCCAAAGTTTTGCGTGTACACATGCACCACAGTCCAAACCACAGCTTTAACGATAACACGGAGGAATTATGGTGTTGGAATTACTTCCAGAACACTTTTTTTTTCTAGTTGTATGAATTCAATGATAGCCAATATAAATCCATACAAACTTAAAGAGCTCTAGCATTTAAAGTGGCAGATGGCATAACTGTAGCACACGCTTTAGAAACAAAGTTATCTTCTACTGGTGTGGATGGTAACTGTTATAGTTTTTACTTGCTGTGAACTGGTCTTAATAGAAAAGACCAGTGATGCTAGAGAACTGAACCAACATACACTGCTGATAGGGTTAATAACTGGATACATACAATAAAACAATGAGGACCATTAAAAACCATCAGGAAATGAACTGATAAGTGTTGCTTATAATCAGGTTTTTATTTAACAGTACAGAGAAAAGCAGATAAACCAGAGAGAAATGTGAGATGGGGAGGAAAAAAGAAAAACGCACCTCTAGATAAAAACTATATTATTCCATGTAAATAATATATCCATTAAATAATTAAGAACAGCATTCAAAATGTACCAAACAAGCAACACAAGAGATCTCCCAGAGGAATGAATACAGTGAATGTTTTATTTCTCAATGTGCCACGACAGATTAAACGCCCCCCCCCCCTCCCCTCCCC